CTTTAAGAATGCCGATTTGGAATGATGATTGGGGGAAATCGATTGAACAGTTGGCTTTACAGCTATTGTAATCCATTATTCATGTTCAAATTTAAATAAAAGACAATAAAATGGCATTTTTAGATCATGTATTTGTTTCTTACTGAATAAAAAATAATTTTTGATGGTTTATTTAATGGTTAATGTTTATATTTTTCGTTCAATGTGTATAGTTTGTGTTAAGCTGAATCTAATAATTAGATAGTAAATATTATTTCTTAACTAAAATCTTCTTTATTCAATTCCTTCTGTTAGCTCACACTCTCGCCTATATATATCTTGTTCAAATTTTCAATCGTTCATAAAATACTTTTTATTCATCCACTCAAGTTCAAATACATTTTTTTAACTTGCAGTGGATGACACTGGATGTTAATACAGCTTTTTCAAATATTAATTAATTCATTAAATTTAATTAATTAATTTTAGTTTTTTTTAGATTTAAGTTGCATATATCTACCAATAGATGGCGCCAGACAAAGTTAAAAAAATGAATGAAATTTATTCATAAAGGACTTTCTGCAATATAGTGAAAAAAAGTAGGAATTGACTTTAATTTTTTTTTTTATATTACTTGTTTTGTATAACAGGTTGGCATATTATTCCACTAGTTTTCACTATCAGGTGATGATGGGAGGACATTACTTTTCTCCACACTTCACCCCCGTAGCCAGGGCTATGTAGCCCCTACCAGTTGAGAGTAGAACTTCGCAAACCTACTGTATATCACGAACATCCCACTGACGGGTCTTGGGAGGACATTACATTCGGAGAGAATTTTAGTGATTTTTTTCCTCTACACTTCACTCAGTACCCAGGGATATGTAACCTCTATAAATTGAAAGTGAAAGATACGTGAGCCTCGTGTACATCACGGACCCACCGACGAGTGGTAGGAAACATTACATTTTGAAAGAATTTTCAGTTACGTTTTTCCTCCACACCTCATCCCTGTACCCAGGCCTATGTAGCCCCTACAAGTTGAGAGTGGAACATCAGTGAGCCTCGTGTATATCATGAACAGCCCACCGATGGGTGGACATCACATTCGGAGAGAATTTTCGGTGACTTTTTTTTCTTTTTTCCACACTTTAAGCCCATACACAGGGCTATGTAGTCCCTACCAGTTGAGAGTGGAACATGCGTGATCCTCGTGTATATCATGAACAGCCCACCGTCGGGTGAGGGGAGGACATTATATTTGGTGGGAATTTTCCGGGACTTATCTGATTCTTTTCTTCACACCTCACCCTCTGACCCAGGGCTATGTAGCCCTTAGGAGATGACAGTGGAATATTCGTGAGCCTCGTGTATACCAAGAACAGCTCACCGATTGGTGATACCAATGATCCGTTCAGGTTACGAACCGTTGGACAAAAACGAGATGCTGTTTACAATTCCTCCTTCATCACAGAGATTATTGTAAAAAAGTGGGGATTTTTTTAAACGGATGAGTACTAATAGATTAATTGATAATGAAATGATACACAATTAATAACACAATAATAATAATAATTAATAAGACACAATTAATTACACAATAATAATAATAATAATAATAATTAATAAGACACAACTAATAAATTAATTAAGAAAGCGAACTAAGAATTTAGTGATTTTTTTCACCTATTTCCTTCTTGAAAAATGTAAGAAAGTGAAATTTATGAAATTCGTCTATATTTATCCTTCCTGACTCTCTTCTTCTTCTTCAATGACTTTTTCAATTTTACAGCTCCATAGTGGGCCAATGCCATCTACCTATTGGCAGATTCCGAGACATGAGAAGTTTTCTTTTACTGGATAGGGTTGTCAGCCCTACGTCTAAAGATGCGTGTTTTTATTAGACCGGGACCTAAGGTTTAAAGTGGATTCTGAACCACTGCAAACATCCATGACACAGCAGGGATTCGAACCCCAAGACACCAGGAGCCGGAGCGTTAATCACTCGGCACACCTGACCTTACAAATACAGAAAATTTTCTCTATATTTTTAAAGTTTTCTTTCGAAACAAATAATTATTAGTGACTTACGAACAGGATGTACTTTTCTATCATTCCTGTATTCATTAGTTATTAGCAATTAGTAAAAAGAACAGCTATATTAATTAAAAATACTCTTTCTAACTGAATATATGCTACATTTGTTAAGAAGAATACTATAGACAACATGAAAACTACTCTTCGTTAAAGATTTATGAAATCATCAAACTAAGGTGGTTTTAAAATCTTATTTCGAAATAAACGAAAACGTGTCAGAAATAACAAATGTAAAAATAAGAGCAAAAAATTTTAAATGTTATATATATTTATATTTCCTTGTTAAAATCTTGACCTATTTTTGACACCATTAAAAGGAGAGTAGTAATATCACAAAAATCCACTATAACAATCATCAATGAACAAGAAAGTAGACTGGTTTAATAGAAGTAAATACTACTAAGAATTATATTTTAATGGAGTATATGTTAATTTTCTGTCCTAACAATGTTTCTAACCTGGAAATTCCCTTTCGAAACATTTATTTATCGTAATAAAAAAAGCAGAGATGCTTGTTAAAGATTTCTAAATCGTTTCTTATCATTTAATTGTTTGATTAACATTACACAATACCACACACTAAATAAGTTTGTAAATTTCCTTACACTAATTTATTAGTTTAGGCAACTTAGAAATGTCTTTTAAAATGCAACTGTTTCAAAATGTATGGTAAATTATGTGTCTAATTATTAAATTTTTTTTCTAGTTACAATAAAGTCTTTTCTTTTCTGAAATGTTTTTCTCAATAACATGAAATCGTAATTGTAAAATCTCTAGACAATAACAAGGCAGCTACGAATTTTTGTATCGTAAAAGTTAAATATTACGAGATTAATGTAAACATCATTTCTCCAGAAGAAATAAATTCATTAAAAAAACGTTTGTTTAATATAGTGTGTTGAAAGAATTATTAGTTTCTTTTTTAAATATTTTTATTAATTTTTAAATTAATTATATATTATAATTAAGCGTATTTTTCAATTCCTTCTATTAGCTCACACTCTCCCTATATATATCTTGTTCAAATTTTCAATCGTTCATAAAATACTTTATATTCATCCACTCAAGTTCAAATACATTTTTTTAAACTTGTAGATGTTAATATAGTTTTTTCAAATATTAATTCAGTAATTAAATTTATTTCATTAATTTTAGTTTTTTTTAGATTTAAGTTGCATATATCTACCAATAGATCACGCCAGATAAACTTAAAAAAATGGATGAAAATTGTTTATAAAGGACTTTCTGCAATAGAGTGATAAAAAAGTAGGAATTGACTTAAAAATTTTTTTATATTATTTGTTTTATCGGAGAAATCAATGTAAACATCATGAGCTCAATGCAAACATCATTTCTAGAGAAGAAATAAATTCGTTTAAAAAAGTGTTTGTTTAATCCAGTATTTTGCAAAAATTATTAGTTTCTTTTTAAAATACATTTAATTAATTTTTAAATTAATTACGTGTTGTAATTAAGCGTATTTTTAAGTATTTTTTTCTGACTAAATGCTTATTGCTTATGAAATCGTTATAAAAAGAATTGCATACGATTTGTTTTACAATAATTTTCATTTTAGAAAGCTACCTCATTTAAATTCAGAATACTGATTTGGTTCCACATTATTTGAAAATACTTAAAGTACAACAAAGAGTTATACAATGGTTGATATTTTTTTTTTATTTCCAATGGCAGGCTACAATAGGTAATAAAACAAGTAATATAAAAAAAATTTTAAAATCAATTCCTACTTTTTTTTCACTATATTGCAAAAAGTCCTTTATAAACAATTTTCATTCATTTTTTTAAGTTTATCTGGCGCCATCTATTGGTAGATGCATGCAACTTAAATATAAAAAAAACTAAAATTAATTAATTAAATTTAATTACTGAATTAATATGTGAAAAAACTGTATTAACATCAAGTGTCATCCACTACTAGTTAAAAAAATGTATTTGAACTTGAGCGAATGAATAAAAAGTATTTTATGAGCGATTGAAAATTTGAACAAAATATACATAGGGAGAGTGTGAGCTAATAGAAGGAATTGTAAAAAGATTTCAGTTCAACAATTTAGTTACAAAAAGTAGTTAGTAAAAAGGTAAACATTTACAACATTTTAGTTTAATAAATTTTACTGATGAACTTATTTTAAATTTAAGAATTTAACCGAAATCTTTTTATATTATTGATACATAAATATATTCCACGAGTTTTGCGACGACATACCGGATTTTGAATTTGTTCGAGGGCAAATGAAAAAAAAAAACGAAGGTCAAATTGAGTCCAATGTATATCATTATTACAACTACCGCAAATGGAAATCCCCACACTAGATTGAAATATCGCTACACAGTCCCATGAAGTCATAGCAGCATACTTTTCATTCCACCGCAGCAAACCGTAATTTCGCAAAAATGACCTTCAGCCCAGATTTATTTTATGCCTTAATACAAAATATATAAATATTAAAACATATAATATATAAATATTGCATGCAACAATTCTATCAGAAAAAATAATGGAAAATAAAAACCTTTTAGAGAAATTAAAATCCCTCTAAGATTATTAATTTTGTAAATAAACTTAAAACGACAATTTAAAATCTGTTAAAGAACATGAAAATTATAGCAGTATTTCATAAAAATGAAAGGTTTTATTTTTTTTATTTTCTATAAAGAAATCTTTTTCGTATAATTTTATCACTTTGTATGATTTGTTTTAAAATCATGCTGTATGTCAATTTCACGCTAATTTTAATTAAAAAATTTCAACTTGTAGCTGGCTTTTTTTGTTTGTTCCATCTTTATCATGTTCACCTTACGTTTAATCAATTCAACGCGTAGAATATTTTAAATAAAAAAATGTTCAATTTTCAATCATTGGGAGGCGCTAGACACTCGGCCATTCAGGTCCCAAATTTGCCAACGGCACGCGGTGTTCCCAGGTGGTCACCCACCCAAGTACTGACCGCGTCCAATGATGCTTGACTTCGGTGATCTAACGAGAACCGGTCTGAAATTACAAAAACATTTATGAACATCTTTAATAAATGCTTATTTATTTAAATTTTTTCTGTACAACCATAAAATATATAGGCATTATTTTGAAGAGCGGGGTTTTTTCATGTTGTAGACCACTTTCAATTTTGAACATTTTCCTTTAAGTCTGTATTTTTTTTTTTCTTTCAAGAACTTTTTAAATTTCTTTCACCAGCTTTTTTATACACAATATTTACTTACAAAATAACCGAAAACTATTAAATAATTTAGTAAAAAATAATAATTCAGAAGAAAAATTAATGTAAAATTGCTTTTAAAGATTATCTGGTGAAAGCAAAGACAATTTCCTTTTAAAATGAAAATGAGATTTTTCAAGAAAAGAAAGTCGTTTGGAATTCTATAGTTGTTTTATTTTTAAGACTGCTGTGATGCGTGTTGTTCTTGCATTAAATTCTAATTGCTTTAAATACAAATTAATATTCGTAACTTGTGTATTGACCCATCTGAATACAATTCTTCTGTTTCGCTTTGACGTCATATTTCTGGCGTCCAATAACAAATATAGCTCAAACACAGTAAGTCAAACTAAAAGAATTTTCTACAGTTATTCTTATTTAGAAAAAATTTCTTCTTAATCATTTTATTAATTAAATAACAAAGTATGCAAAGAGATATAGTAAAGAAGTCTAAAAATATGGTGAAAGTAAATGGAATAGTTACCTCTATACAATCATAATTATGAGCAATTTACAGTTATTTTTACGCAGTAAAAAAAATATCAGATAATTTTTGAAACAATTGTAAATAATTAGCATCTAATAAAAACCTTCAAAATACATAGAAATTAGATAAGAATGCATTTTCAATTAATACATAAAAATGTACTTCATATTTTTTTTTCTAATTCAGCTAGCAAACACTTAGAGAAGTGTCTTTGATGCCTTAAGGCAAGCTACGGACACGGAGTAACAATGCCCCCGCAACGTTTTATGATCATGTTCGGCTGGGACCTACGGTTTAAAGTGGATTCCGAACCACTACAAACATCCATGGCACCGCCGGGACTCGAACCCTGTGGCAACAGCCCTATGGCCACTCCGTCATTCAGGACCCCATATTTAGTACATAACAGTGTACATCATACTTTTCAAATTTAAAAGTTCAAGGTCTACCGGAATCATTCATAAGATTTTCAGATGAGGAATATAAATTTATTTTAAAACATTCTATTTAAGTATAGAAAAAACTTTTTACTAACAAATAATTGAAGAATTTTTTTACTAATAGTGAAATACCAAGTTTTCAACTTCTCAAGGACATTAGCATGAACTTTGTAAAAGAACCTTGATCTAGAGTGCACTTAAAAACAAAGATTTCTGAAAACAGTGCAATTTGCATGCAGTTAGATACCAGAAAGTTTCTAATTGTGAAGAACTATTCTCATAAATTAAAGAACGAGCCTAAATGATTCTTTATCAAAGAATGATTGCCACATGATTTCCATTATCATGAACTTAGATGAACCCGACGAACGAACTTGATCTACTTTGCGTTTGAATGAAAAAAAAAAATACTGCATACACCTCAGTGTCATGCAAATTAAGTAGGCAGTGAAAGTCTTTCTAGTTATTTATTTATGATTCAATTACTTCTCAAAGCCAAAAGTGAAAGGTAAAAGAAACTGCGACCGCCTTTTCCGTGAACTGTTACTCAAATTTTCTCACCTTGAAATCGATGATTAGAATTGGCAAAAAAAGAAAGAAAAAAGCTGGAGCTTTGAAGGTTGCAGAAGCAGCAATGACCGTGAGGTCATCGACCGAAGGTGAGTTGTGACAGTGCCCTGCCCTTTGGGTATGCCAGACCCTGAAGATTATCGCGACTGGGCCTCGCAATTTCACTTGAAATTGTTGGTAACATAATGGCGGGGAACTTGTTTTATAAGATTTTGAAATCTGTCCGAAAGTCATTGCCTTTTTTTTTTTCAGTATATCAATTGCGTGATTTCTCACTGGTGTATGATTCAACTAAAAAAAAAATGGCACATATAATTTAACCTGCAAGAGTTTTGTAACGAATAGCAGTTTTTCGAGATATTGAGGGGGGAGGGAGTGTTTGTTGCATTGTTTCAAATTTTACCGCGTAATGTAAAAGATTCGTTAACTGAAGGAATAATTCATTTTTATTGAAACGTTTATAATAAAAGGTTTTACTGGTCAATATTTGCCAATATTTAAGTTCTTTTCTGTGCCCTTATAATAAAGGTGTGAGTATAACTGAAAATTTTACTTTTACTAATAGAATAGACACCGGCGATTGGTGTTACAGGTTTCGGATTCGAGTCCCGGCGAAAATGCCATGGGTATTTGTAGTGGTTCGGAATCCACTTTAAACAGTAGGTCCTGGTCTAATATGACTGTTAAGCGTTAGGTGTAGGGCTGACAATCCTACCCCGTAAAAAAGAAAACATCTCGAAATCTGCCAGACGGCCTTGACCCACCAAAGAGTTGTTGAATGAAGATGAATAAGATAGAATAAATGAAGATGAATAAGATAATGAAGATGAGAAGATAGAATAAGACCAATGAAGATGAATAAGATAGAATAAATAAATATCTTTTTAAAAAACTATTAATTCATGTCGAAGGTTTAATCCATCATTTGTCATCATTGGAGAAATATTTTTTTTTAATTTTAACTAAGTTAATCTGCAGTAAATGACTTTGGTGTCTAGAATAGGGGGGAGTAAAGTTTCATTATTTAAATAATTTACTTTCGTCCTTACTAGCTTAATGATAGTGAGAACAAGTTGGCAGAAAAGATAACTGGATTCTGTTCGTGGCGTGCATTACAATCGTTGCCTTCAAAAACCGATAAACCAGGTGATAATGTCGTTCCAACTGTATGATTGGAAATTATCCAGTTTTAATTGATGCGACAGATAAACGGAGAGCAATTGCCATTGCAATTCCTCTCATGTAGCCCCCTTCTGTAAGACAGTGCAAATGCTTCAGGTGACAATGATTCACTCTGCTTCAAACCCAATCTGCTCTAATTCTGCCACATCAGTCAGTTGTCAATTCTTCATCTCAAAAACATTGCAATGAAAAAAAACATTTTTTAAAATAAAATCTTGCATTATTATGAACAGCGTAACACGTCAACCTGCAAAGTCTGAACGGTGCTATTTATTATAATAGTGTTATTTTAATGTATAATAGTAGCAGTGTATATTTTAATGTTAATATATGGTATATTTTTAAGACATAGCATTCTGTATTTGCCTTCCATCTTTTAAGTAAGAAGGAATCCTTTAACTATTATAACTTATTTCTAGATTATTCTACAAAGAAACATAGAAATCATAACAATATAGTATATTTTCTTATAAGTAATTACTAGATTGCAGCTTTAAGTTAAAGTCAAGTTATAAGTTTAAGTCTAAGATAATTTGGTAATATAACTTATATGGCATAATTCCATGTATTTATAGTAATTAATAAAACTAATGTAATTTTTATATTAAGTAAACTATTAATTTACAAGTCTATAGACTTTTTTTCATTTTGGACGATGACAACGAATTCTGATTTTCTCCAGATTTTAGGTTTTTTTTTTATATTTTGTTGTTGTTATTGTTGTTGAAATAATAGGCTATAATTATGTTACTAGTCAAATTTTTTAATTGGGTTGAGATAATTGAAATACTTGATGTCTTTATTTGACTTTATTGCTGCTATCCTTTTTAAAAATATGAAATATTCTGTATTAAATAATGAAGAAGAAATTAATCATGTTGTCAATCATGTTAAATTAATCATTAATTGTTTTAATTTGCGTCCGAATATAAAGTTTTTTCTTTTGATAAATAATATTTAATAATTTCATTTGTTAAAAATTTCTTAGTTCTCCTCCAAAAAGAACGTTATAGCAAACAACCGAACCTAAAATTTCGTAATTTCTGTTAAATGCGTTTATTATTTTCTTTTTATTGCGGTATTATTTTTCTATTTAATTTTCTTTTTCTGCACATAATACATACGATATCAAATTCTTGTCGTTTTAATTAGTTGGTCTCATAGCGACCACCAAAAGTAATAGAGGCATCACACTTGTGAGTGGCGTACATTGGCATAAATATCAAATATTTATAGGGCAACACCGGCAGTAACAGCAATACTGGCAACAAGGTTGAAGCCCGATTCGTATGGAGCTTATTTTATCCATCTTTTTGTATTCCATGAGATTTAAAATTTCAAAATCTCAAAGTTTAGCACACATATTCTGTGCATATAGCTGTTTGAAAACTCTCCAGGTACAGTCTTCGGATTTTCACAGCATTCTCCGCTTCTGCACCATATGTGAAATGCATGCCTTACCTTTTCCTCCACCAGGTTCATGTGACAAATCATCTCAGCTGAAATCCGTGATAAAAAATAAGTAGTGACAAATCCAACATTCCATCACTTTATAGCTGTTCACCTCTTGTGCTATGTCATATGGCAAAAATTTATATTATTTTATTAACGATTTAGAAGTGCTCTCTTATTGCCTTAAACCTCTACTACAAGTTTTCTCATGTGTGAATTTATATACGAGTCACTTATTATATATATATATATATATATATATATATATATATATACTAAGCAGCCTGCCTTTTTCACTTAGGAATACCACGAATATGGGAGGATTTGCTGAAACTCTCACCAAGTAGCATGATTGTCGAAGACGCTTATACAAGTGCCTAAAGTTTGCCGATCATTCTACCATGTGTGATGTCGTCCACAGCTATATTTTCATATAATTAGTTATATTACACACATAAACTCATTTTAACTCACAGAAATTGTCTTTAATAGTACCTACCAGAGATATCTTTCCACATCAACTGCGAGATCTTTTCCAACTTTCTACTAAATTTGGTGTTCATTCTACTTATCACTACAAGTCACTACTATTACTAACTATACTATTACTAACTATATTTCAAGCTATACTTCTCCAAGAGATTTTT